GCTCATGTGGCCCTTGAAGAGATTGTGTACAATAAGAAGTTGCTGAAAGACATCACTAAGTTAACAGACTTTCATCACACAGGAAATCTCGAGGTGTATCATTCACTTTTATTGAAGTATGCCCCTAAGAGAAAGCATTTTTCCTACCAGGGAATGATTGCTAGAACGCAACTAGCAGTTCTAGATCACAACAACAACTGCAGCAGAARACAAGCTACAGTCAAAAAAGGGAAAAACCAAGGTAGCCACAGATACAAAGTGGTATTTCCAAAAGGCAGAAAAACATGGGTAGCAAAGCCAGTGTTAGAAGATAAATCATACGAAGTCACAACAAGAATAATGGAACAGGTGATTGATGAGCATGAAGCTGGGACCAAATTCACAACAAGAAAACCAATCAACATACCAAAAAATATTGCAACTGCACCAAAACCACCAAAGGAAGAGGTGATCAAGAACCACAAGTCAAGAATGGGAAAAAATAAACTCAAAGCCTCCCATGATTAATTATAATATTGGTGGTAAGTGATACCATTATCATTAATTCTTATAATTATGTGTACAAGGTATTCTTTCAACAATTTTGGTACATTTATCAAAAAATTCTGACATCTTATCAAATTAAAATAATTGCTTTGTATATTAATTTAGTTCTACAGGGCTTGACACTAATGTATTTATTATTGTTATTTATCTTTTTATCATTCTACTTTTTAATTTTTAAGACATAATCAAATCAATATTCCAAAAATAAAATCATAATGAGCTTTACATGTCCACACTTTAGGTAGTTTGACTGTAACTAGTGCAAATAAAATCAACTAGCCTGCTGGATTAGAAGCTTTTCAACATCTGACTACCAGTGAAGCTCATTTTTTTAAATTGCCAGTTTAACTCTGACCAGTAGTAAATATCTTATTGTGAAGTTGGGATAAGAAAAAAGACTTTAGGAATATACTGCTCCACTGTGACACTAGTGTCGAACCCYGATTCAAACTGTTATTTCTATACATCTATTTATTCATCTGAATAACGAAAGCCAACAAATTCAAAGTCTTCTTCTAAGCCTGGAGGTGGAAAGTGGGCTCGTATACACATGACAGCACAAGACGGCAAAACAACCCTTATTTCTTTCCCCAAGACTCCCCAACACCATCTAACTAACTGTCTGTAAGCTGTGTGTCTATTTTTCTTATGTTCAGGCCCTTCATGGCATTGGTTGCCATACTGATGTCGATACTGGAGCCAAGCAGCCCCCAAAACCCATTGATTTAGACACAGCTTTAAATCCAGGTTTGTCCGTAATACAGGTAATGTCACTCTCCAAATTTTCCTTTTCAAAAACTTCACGATTGTTTTCGACTTTCTCTTGTATTTCGTGGCAACAAATGCATTCTAGCTCTCTGTCCATGATTTGACAATGTCCACATTTGCACCTGAAGGTCGAAAAGGTGAAATCAAGTTTTGAATTTATACACGTTTTACAGCGGAATTAATTATAGATTGAAATGCTGACTAACTTTAAAGCTAATGTAAGAATAAATAAATCAATCAATCAATCAATCAATCAATCAAT